CCGAGGCACACAGCCCGGGGAGGGGAGCCTGCGGTTTCCCTAAACTCCCTCCCCGTGGCTCCAAGTCCGAGAGGCGCGTGGCGTCTGGAGACGGAAGTGACGCTGCAGACCCTGTTTGTCTCTGTGCACGGTCCAGCTAAGCCCCGAGCGCCTTTTGGTGTTACGGGCTCTCCATGAGCAAGCAGAGGGCTCAGAACGAGGGAATGCGTTCTCCCTCTTCCGGGACAGAAGAAGGCGTCTGCAAGGCCTTGCTCCCCCAGGGAGATCTAAGCTCCTCTCAGTTCCTGGGGTCCCTGGGCTTGTGGCTGCCTCACTCCCAACTTCGGGTCCCACTTCACACAGTTTTCCTCTCTGTGTTTACGTCTGAAATTGTCACTGGCTGCCGCACATTCTCAGCAGTAGCTGAGATGGAAAGGAGTTAGGGTGTGTTTGGTTTTTGTTTTTGCAGTGCTGGGGACTGAACCCATGGCTCTTAAGCTGTGCTCATCCTTGGCCCTTTTTATTTTTTGTTTTGAGATAGGGTCTTGCTAAGTTGCCCGGGCTGGACTCCAACTTGCAATCCTCCTGCCTCAGCCTCCCAGAGTGCTGGGATTACAAGTGTGCACCACCACGCCTGGTACAGACATGGTTCTTGAGCCTGCTGACCACAGTGACCATTGTCCACCTCCTTCTTCAAGGCCCTCTGAAGGGGAGGTCCCTGTACCACCGTGAGGTGTTACCAGTCGGTTAAGGCCTCCTGCTCAGCGCGTGTAGAAACCGTGAGTTGGCAAAGTGCGGCTCTCTCAGTGTTAATAGACCTGGGCTTTGAAGCACCACTCTTCTGGTGCTAGCGGCCCTCCGTGCCATCTGGGGCCAGCAGCGACCAGCAGGCCTCGGGGAGTCTTCCCACCCCGCAGATGGCGCCTCCTGGAGATTCCTTACTGCTCTCCACTGTTCCCCGCCCCTGCCGCCTTCAGTGTGACAGCCCCGGTTCCTGGTGGCTTTTGGTCCCGGTGGCCTTTGGTGTTACCAGCTCCTATGTACGCTCGGCACGCGCTACTTCAGCTAGAAATCACGAAGAGGAACAGCCATCGGAAGAGAATTTTCGGGACCTGGGGTGCTGCATGGGGGAGACTGCGCGCTAGCGGAACCCTCAACAATGCGGGGGTGAAGGGGTTTAAAAAGGGAAAGGTGGGCTTGCGCATGCGCAGTGTCAGCTTTGTGCAGCCCCGGGGCTGGGCGGGGCCCTCACGGACGTAACTAGGGCTGCGGAGCTGCACCTTCAGAGAGGCTGCGGCCGGGTCGTCTGGGATAGGTCCGCGACTGACGTCTGGTGCGGCCAAAGCAAATGCCTGGAAGAGGGGTGGGGGTTGGTGGAGGAAAAACAACATGACTTTTTGGGGAGCATCATGCAGTTCTCCTCTATTTCGAAATCTTCCTTGCTGCCTGGCGTGGTGTGCTGTAATCCCAGCACTCGGGAGACTGAGGCAGGAGGATCGCTGTGACTTCGAGACCAGCCTGGACTACATAGTGAGTTCCAGGGCAGTCTCAACTACATAGTGAGACCCTGTCTCAAAAAA